GTAAGTGCTCACTCAGTCTTTTCCCTTGGAGCTATTTTATAATGAAGGACTGAACTGACTTGTCTTTATAGAATTTCCCACCATCTGGCTTTGCATACTCTCACCTAGTAGCTTCCTCTTCCCTACAAATCCTATTAATTTCATAGTTATTTTTAGTGAGTAGATTCATACGACTTTTTCTTTTCTTAATTTCCTTACTAAACGCGTTTAACATACAGAGAAGTAGAGACAAAAGCTTAATGAATCTCTACATACCCATCACCCAATTTCAGTAATTACTAAATCATGACCCCTGTTTGTTTCATCTGTAGTTCCACTCAGATTTAGAAAAAAATTTTAGACATCAAATATATCTTTAAGTAATGACTCCAATAATAAAATCACAGCACCATACTTACAACTAAAATTTTTAAATTTGTTAATATAAAATAATTTAGTCACTGCTCACAATGCAATTGCTTTAATAATTATTTTCAAGATTGTTCATTTGAATTCAGATTCAGAGGTTCATGAAATGTAAGTCTTTGTTGGGTGTTAAGAATTTCAAGTTTTAAAATTAATCTTTTAAATTGATGCAAAATATTCACAAGTCTATGGCCAAATGTATAAAACAAGGTACTGTATATACAAAGAGGTTCTACTTTTTGGCCATTAGTTTCCATTCTACATTCTTCCTGCTTTCAGATATTTTTTTTCAGGTTTTTTTTTTTTTTTTTTTTCTTTCTCCTTCCACATAAACTGTGCCAATCTACCCCTCCTCTGTGCTGGTACTCTCGACTTTTCCCAATCCTGGCACCTTTCCTGAGAACTCATTCAGACTGGTCTTCCTCCTTGCTTTTCTTCCCTCCTTTCTTAAAAAGGCATGATTTAAACAGAAGGTAAACAAACAAAAGGTTCAAGTAACCTTAAAGTAGAGAAGACAGGGACTTTTTTTTAATAAATTGACTTTGGAATTGTGTAAATATTTTACATTATTATAAAACAAACTTAAATTTCAAAAAAGGAATTCCTAAAAAAGGAAAATAAATGCTTAATCCAGTTGGTGACATAACCACACAGGAACAGTTCTAAGTGATATCTTAATCTGTTATAAGTCATCATGTTGGAGGTGTTGTTACTGCTGTTTTGAGACTGTTGTGTGTCTAGTGTAGGATAAAGCAAATAAGTAGTTATGGTGGTTATGCTGAAACTAGGACTTGTGGTGTGGGAGAAAGGAGATACAGATAGAAAATCTGTGAGGTTAACCCAAAACTTCGTGCTTTAAATTTTGAATTGGAATTATTAGTATAAACTCACCATGTAATTTATCTTAAGAAAACTGAAACAAAAGTAAAAACTTTTATTTCTAGCTCTACTTATGGAAAGGACCTATAAACAGTGTGCCGGTGAGCAGTTTTAGTACCCAGATAGTTGCCTCTAAAATCCATCTTTTAATAAAACAACGGGGGTTCTTTGGACAGTTGGCTGACTCCAGGTGTGTATAAGATGAACGTGAGTCATGTCAAAAGAACTCAAAACCATCCTCAAAAGGTTTCTAATGGCTGAGGAGACAGTTTGAGCATCATAAGGATAATAACTGCAATGGACTGAAACACATCAGTAAGTGGTTAATATGTTTCAGTTCATATGTTTATGACTGTTTAAATTCATGAGTTCATAATGATACTAAAAGGAAACTCATCAGTCACTTTGAGGATGCTGGAGAACCATCTCATTATTCAGAATAACCACATAGTGGATGAGGAGTTTTTCTGAAAGGAAATATTCTGGCTAATAAAAATAGAATACCTGGGGCGCCTGGGTGGCTCAGTCGATTAAGCATCTGACTCTTGGTTTTGGGTCAGGTCATGATCTCTGGGTTGTGAGATTGGGCTCTGCACTCAGCCGGGAGTCTGCTAGAGATTCTCACTACCCCCCGCCACCACCATGTGCTCTCTCTCTTTCAAAAGAAATAATTTTTTTTTTTAAGATTTTATTTATTTATTTGACAGAGCACAAGTAGGCAGAGCGGCAGGCAAAGGGAGAGGGAGAAGCAGGTCTCTGCCAAGCAGGGAGCCCGACGCAGGGCTCGATCCCAGGACCCTGGGGTCATGACCTGAGCCAAAGGCGGCCGCCCAACCAACTGAGCCACCCAGGCGCCCCAAAATAAATAAATTAAAAAAAAAAAAAGAATACCACCATTTTGCAACCTCTAAGGAATTAATGATCCTAAGCAGTGATCGTAAGTATCTGCTAACATTCCAAAAGAAATAACCAGACTTCTTGATGAGAGTCTCAAGTAATCTAACCAAAAAATAAGGACACCTGAATCTCATCAAACCTTTAGAGCTTACTTTCAATTTATAGGAAATACAGAGCCTGGAAGAACATGTCGAATGACATCTTGGGGATGTAGTCCATAAAACCTGTTGTGTGGGAAACTGTATCCTTCCTACTTTTAGTGTAGTCCATGGATCAATAGGAGAAGCATCAACTGTGAGCTTTTTAGAAATGGAGAATCTCAGGCCCCATCCCAGACCTACTGAATCAGAATCTGCATTTTAGTATGCTTCCCAGGTGATTCACATGTACAGTTCAAGTTTAAGTAGTACTGCTCTACAGGACAAATAATCCAAAGTCCCCAATAAAGAAATTGTAAGAAAAAGAAAAGGAGGTGGAGGAGCATCCTATAGATTAAAAAGATTTAGGAGGCGTATCATTCATAAGTAGAGATCTTATTTATATCCCAGTCAGAAAAAACAAAATTTTAATTTTTAAATAATCGGGGGACTATCTTGGATCTACTTCAGAATAATCTGGGTGGTGGAAAGAGGAAAGTAGGTAGGTATATAGGTGAAACAGGGTTGACTATGACCTGTTAATTGTTGAAGCTGGGTAATGGGTACAAGGAGGTGTACTATTTAATTTTGTATTTAAAATTGTTTTTCTATAAGGGTTTAAAAAGGAGGGCCTACTAAGACGACGACTATAATCAAAAAGGTAATGACAAGTATTGGCGAGGATGTAGAAAACAATTGGAACTCTTGTACATTGCGCATGAGAATGTAAAATGGTGGAAAACTATCTGACCGTTCTTCAGAAGGTTAAACAGCTACTGTATGATCTAGCAATTTTTCTAGGTATATATCCAAGAAAGATGAAAACATATATTCACACAAAAACTGGTACATGAATGTTCATGGCAGCATTTTTCATAATAGCCCCAAAGTAGAAACATCCCAAATGTCTATCAGCTGATGGATACATTCATAAATATAAAATGTGACGTATCCATATAATGGAATATTGTTCAGTTATAAAAAGAAGTACTGATACACACTAGAACACGGATGAATCTTGACAAGCATTATGCTGAGTGAAAGAGGGTTGTCACAAAACACCACATATTGTATGATTCCATTTATATGAAATGTCCAGAAGAGGCAAATCTATAGAAACAGAATAGATTAATGGTTGTCAGAGGTTGGGGGGGAGTTTGGGAAGGGACATGGGAAATGACTGCTGGTGGGTAGGGGGTTTGTTTGGGGGTTGGTGAAAATGTTCTAAAATTGATGGTGGTGAAAGTTGGACAACTCTGAATACACTAAAACCTACTGATTTGTACACTTTAAATGGGTGAATTGTATGGTATGTGAATTATATCTCAGTAAAGCTATTATTAAAAAAGGAGGGAGGGCATTACACTGATATCCATGCTCCAGGCTTCACCCAGTACTACTCAGAATCGTTGGGAGGAAAGTTGCCTAGGTGACTCTAATGTGCAACCAGGGCTGGGAACTACTGTATTAGAAAGTTAGCTTTAAGGATTGTTAGAAGAGAGAGGCAAGATTATTTATCTGACATGGTAGCCTGGAGGAGAAGCCCTCAGGGATGGCATTTTAGTTGACCTGCCTACATGGAAGAGACAAAAATCTACAGTGGGGAGCCCTCTGGGTGCACATCATCTATTTCTGTAGTACTTAGTAGAATAGAAATAAAAACGAAGTTCTCTAGTAAGTCTGTTAGTTCAGAAGTAGAAATCTTAGGTGTCATAGCTGTGGGTATTAGGGTGACTTGTGCTGCCCAGTGGTGTAGCTTCTGAGTGCCTCAGAAGGAACATAAACTTTGTCAGTGGGATTTTTGGGTACTACGTCATAATCCCAAAACCACAGTCTAAGCATCTGATTCCCTAAATTTATTTCTTCTAGAGAGTGTTCTAGGTATTAGTGAGACTCTGTGATTTTTTAAAAAACTCTTCCATTGTTACATTCCTCCAAGTGAGTAGAAATAAAGCTAGCTGTATTATCCCCATCTGTCTTCAAAGCATTTATTAGGTGACAGGCTCCTGTGTATTGGACTGGGCAGCAGAGAGGGAACTTGAAGACGTCCTAGATACAATGTTTGGCCTTTAAAGAGAAGCCATGGAGAACCAGCCTTGGATTCTGGTTTGATTGCCCTTTGCAAATCATTGATGGTCCCAGACTTTTAATTTCTTCAACTAATGAATAAAGTTTGGACTGGGTTACTCTTGTAGCTTCTCAGATGTTGTGGTTCACATATCTGTCTTTACAGAAGCTGTTAATACAGGATGGTGGTTAAGAGTTTGTGCTCTGGAGCCTGATGACCCAGCTCTGCCATTTCCTGGCTCTGTGACTTTGGAGAAGTCACTTAACGTCTTTGCACCTTAATTCTCCCATCTGTAAAATGGGGATTGAGAATAGCATCTACCTCATGATTTTCTTTTGTGTAAAATATGTGGAGTCGTCTAGCCTATCATTTTATTGCATTTTATTCTAGGCAAGTTTTATTTTAATTCAGGCATGACCAGAACTATCTTATTACCAGATGCAGTATTGTGTCTGTTACTCCATGTGATCTTTATGGAAAGGTACAAAAAACCATATAAAAGTGTCTGAGTAGTACATAGGAAGTTTTGAATAAAAAATTGTGTCTAGTATTTTATGAAGCATGTTAGATGTCCTAATCCTGCTTTTTTCTCCCTGCCCCATATCCTCATATAGGTCAGTTCTCCTTGGGTCTCGGGGACTTGACATATCCCACATCTCCCAGCGATTGGAGAGTCTGAGTGCGGCCACCACCTTTGAGCCTCTTGAGCCTGTGAAGGACACAGACATTCAGGTAAGGGCTTCCAGGTGCCAGGACTGGTGCAGGTCGAACCCTGAGTATGCAAACCAGGCTGAAGGCCCTGGCCCTTTGTTGACCAGCTCATTTAGGAATTCTAGATTTCTTTGTTAATTCTCTTCCTGAGATATTAAGAGAATGGGAGACTCCGCTTTGGAGGTATAGTAGGGAACATAGGTTACTTTAAGAGTACTCTGAGAGGCTGAGTTTAGGAAAGCAATTCCAACCTGCACTTTTTAGATTATTGTAATTATGAGAACAGATTTTTCTTCCTTCCTTGGGCTTAATCCAAGGCACCAGAGACATTAGTTATAAGTTTCTCTTGCTTTCTTTGCTGGATCTCAAATAATTTTACTCTTCGTCTTCCACATTTCTTTTCTACATCTTGCTTGTATTGGTTGGCAAAGAGCTGGGGAAAACTTAAGAGTACTATTTACTGAAACCTACTCATCGATTTCTAGGAAGTATTTGGCTGCATTAGTGGCACCAGGAAATGGTCTAATAGAGCACTCCAGTCTCATTTAACCTAACATGCCACTGGCATAATTGATTGCTATTTTAATCTAATCAGAAACTGCTTTGTGTGTGTGTGCGCGTGTGCACACACACATACATTGTTAAGGAAAAAACTTGTGATTCATTTAGTTTTGAGGAATTGAGATGCTGCATTCATGTTAGAGTGAAGGGACTGTGAGCCACCATTTTAATCATTGATTTACCTTTGAAATGAAAGGAAGCAGGTTCTACAAAGGCAAATCATTGTACAGATGGGTACTAATTGTTATTATATGGGCTCAGTTTGAATTAACTCTCTACCCCACTATCCTTCCCAAGAACTATTTTTATCCATTTAATGGCCACAGTTCTGCTGTATTTATTCCAATTCAGTAACTGAAAACCCTATGTTTCTGTTGAGAGTTAACTATAGATATTATTTTTCCTGTTATCAATATGTTCCCATAGTCACTAGTTTTTTAAAATTTTGTGTACTAAATCATATTAGCTTGTCACCTTATGGATGCCTGCTCATTTCCATGTACTCTTAAAATGGCATGTATACTTAACTTTTTTGTTTAGTTTATTTTTAGCTGTCCCTTTTTGTCCCTTCTATTTTACTGCTATAAACCAATACTTTTAACAAGGAGGAGGTGGGCAAAAGGGATAAAGCTAAAAAATTAATTTGAATAATCATATATTTTGGGGAGTATCCCTAATAGTGTGGAAGAAATGGCACTCGCTGAAAGGTTGTGTGTTTTTAATGTTTAAAATACCAAAGAAGTTATTTTTATTTTTTAAAAAAGATTTTATTTATTTATTTGAGGGAGAGAGCACACTTGAACATGTGCGTGTCAGGGGAGGGGCAGATGGAGAGAAGCTCAAGCAGATTCCCCACTGAGCCCCAGAGTGCCCCAGTCAGGCGCCATCCCACAACCCATGAGATCATGATCTGAGCTGAAACCAAGAGTCGGAGGCGAAACTGACTGAGCCACCCAGGCACCTCCAAAAAATTTCTTTTTAAAACCAACTGCTTTTAAAGGTTCTTTGGCATATTTGTCATATATATTTGGAATACTCAGCACATTTAGTGATATACTTCATGAATTCTGATGGGGTACTCCATTTTCTGCTTTTGAGTTTTTTTTTTTTTAAGATTTTATTTATTTGACAGAGACAGACACAGCGAGAGAGGGAATACAAGCAGGGCGAGTGGGAGAGGGAGAAGCAGGTTTCCTGCTGAGCAGGGAATCTGATGCAGGGCTTGATCCCAGGACTCTGGGATCATGACCTGAGCTGAAGGTAGACGCCCAACGACTGAGCCACCCAGGCGCCCCTCTGCTTTGAGATATTAATGACAGGTTTATAAATGTATTGAATCATGACAGTCTTCCTAACCTTCTGTTTAATGCATGAACACTCTCCTTCAGCACCCCCATTAGATGGTTTCCCAGCAGTGCATGCTCGGTCACATCAAAGAGAGTTTCTTAATTTGGAATGAGCATGGCTAAGAGTTTTGGTCCTGCACGTCCGGGAAATCTTTGAACTTTGAGAGGAAAGATGCTTTCATTTCAAAATTTTACCTCTTGAGCTTTTCCAGAATACCTTCAAAAATGCAAAATGGTCAGTCCAAGGTAACTTTTGATTAATTGGGAATTGGTCATCTATACCTAAAGTAAAGATTTAAGACTTACTAGTTTTGGGGTACCTGGGTGGCTTGGTCATTTAAGCATCTGACTCTTGGTTTTGGCTCAGGTCATGATCTCAGGGTTGTGAGACCAAGCCACAGGTTGGGCTTTGTGCTGGGCGTGGAGCCTACTTAAGATTCTCTCTTGGGGGGGCGCCTGGGTGGCTCAGTTGGTTAGGCGACTGCCTTTGGCTCAGGTCATGATCCTGGAGTCCCGGGATCGAGTCCCACATCGGGCTCTCTGCTCAGCAGGGAGTCTGCTTCTCCCTCTGACCCTCCCCCCCTCTCATGTGCTCTCTCTCTCTCTCTCAAATAAATAAATAAAATCTTAAAAAAAAAAAAAGATTCTCTCTTGGGGGGC